ATATATATATATCTGACACATATTTGTGCATAAACTTGCTTTGCTCAGTCTTTAGTTATTTGGAGATATTTAATTTGAACACATTTTTGCATGAATTTCAGGTAGTGGTCCAGAACATGAGGCATTTAAAGATGAAGAAGCAGCCTTTTCTTCTGATTTGGAAGGGTTGGAAGAATTGTTTGAGTGGGTATTTCTCAACACATATCACACACGTATGAGATTTAAAAAAAGTGTACTTGGACCTGAATTCATTCATTTATCTCATAAATTTGGGCTCAGTAGAATTATTAGTATGAACTTGTGAAGAAAAACAACAGAAGTATGTTTTCTATTAATTTAAATTATTGAAATTCTACGATTTGGTTGATTTTAATATTTTACAGGTTATGTGTAAGGCTCACAAATACATATTCCCTTTGAAATTTCAATAACTGTTAAGAAAGAGAGTTATTATAATCTAAGGAAAGGAGATTTTTGTAGAACCTAAATTTCGAAGTACTGTAGTTTGAACAGTACAGTAGAGTATTGATATGTTGTTCGAAAAGGACTTGATATTTTTTTGTATATTATTATTGTTTGAATTTACTTTGAGGGGAAAAGGGGCAGATAAAATAAGAATATTTCTGCTTCCTTTCATTTCATTTATGATTAGTGTTTTTATTGTATATAGATTTTTCCTTGTATGAATGAATAATAAATAAATAAAATTGTTCATATTTTCTACAATATACCCTTGTGGGTTAGTAGTTAGCCCGAGCACAACTGTAGTATAATTTTTGGTATTTATTTACATAATACGCCATATAGATTTTGCATTACAGTAAAATTCTACGTTTTTCATGTGTCCTTTTTAATCTGCCTCAAGGGAGAGTGATGATGGTGGTGACCTTGTGCTTGGGGCTGATAATGGCAAGAAGAGGAGTTTTGCCGAGACAGCACGGATGTTCAAGCTGAGACGAAACCTGGACCAGCTGGACTGCTTTCACCGACAGAAGGAGCGTGACGCGCAGAAAGCCAGGTCTGAACCTGGCAACAACAGATTTCTGGAGCTGAAGTGCCTCCTTAACCCCGATAAAATTTTATGTGCCTCCCGACGTCCTCAGAAACCTGTTTATAAATAACACTGCCTGTCTCTGTGGCACACGCCTTCGCTGCATGTTTTCAGTTTCTGTAAGTTTTTATTGTTTTTCTGATCTTATGTCTTTTCTTCCTTGCCCTTGTCGCACGGAGCCAATCACTTCTGCGCCAATTGATTCAGCAATTTGTAGGAAATCATTTCAGCTGAGGAGGGAACATTTCTCATAATGTCCTCCTTCCTCACTTTTCTTCTCTCTTTTTATTTGTCTGCTCTGTGAGCCATTACGCGCCCGATGAACTGTGATGCAGCCTCCATCACAAATGTCAGTCATCATCCTTCAGCACCAAGCAGTAACGGGCAGCGTGGGGCTTTAGTGCTCTGTGGATAACCAGTTTAATGGAGCCTGAGCACACCTGGCTTTTAACCAACACACAGCTCTTATGTTACATTGTGCACTAATATTTACATTCCTGACCATCTTCTTTTGAAAAAAAAAAGCACAGATTTTTGTTTTCCACACTATTAGCTTGCTAAAGGAACATTGCATATTTCAGAGCTTTAAAGTCCTTTTACAGCTTTTTAATATCTTTGTTGGTTTACTTTAATATTCTGCTTAAATACCTTCATGTTGTTGTGGCTGCAAGAAAATCAATTCCCTGATGTTCATGAAGATGTTTCAGTTTAGCTGTCTCTCCATGTCCATAGTAACTTCTCTTTTTTTTTTCTAGGGAAAAGCTGAAACTCTGTCATCAGACTATTGAAAGTTTGCTGGAGCAGAGGGACAACGTGGAAAAAGAAATAGATCAACAGAAATCAAAGGACAGCAGGTAAATGAAGTACATTTACACAACCAAAAATATTAATTAAAAAAAGACAATAAAAGCAGTGATTTGTCTGCCTTTTTCGAGCATATGGAAGCTTTTTGTTTGTTTCTGTTTCGCTACCTTTTGTATTTTCTATTCTACTCTTTGCTTATTTTATTTGGCAGTGTGGCCCTGTTTCGACTGCGAGTTCAGCATAAACAGCTGTGTCAACAGCTTCAACACGAGGAAGAGTTGGAAGGCGAAATCCACAATGAACTAAGACAACAAGAGTGAGTTCAAGATAAAGATGGATTGTCAGTTCTTTATTTAACACATTAGTATTATATTTAAAAGGAATTCCTCTAATTTCTTTTGATTCAGTACAATTAAATTCAAAAATACTGAATCACAAACATGGGAGAACAGGTACCACGGGTCCTGCAGCCATGAAGAGGTGCTGCCCTAAATAACTCTGATTCGACTGAAGCTTTAACAAAAAAGAAATAAACACAAACTGAAAACAAAGACATAAAATCGCCTGCTTAAATTTTTGTCTCAGTGCACTTTGAACCAAGTCTAAAATTTCAATCAGTATTTCTCGTTTCCCTCTGCTTACAATCACATTTTGTTGCTCCTCAGACTGGAACTAAATGAAGTGGAAGTGGAGCTTGGCATGGTTTCTTCGCTTCGACAGGTGTTGCTGGAGGAGGAGCAGAAATTCCAGGACCTTAAAGCCCAGAAGGCAGCGACAAGGTTGCAGCAAGAGAGAAAAGTTGGCCAGAACCTGCAACGCAAGACGAAGCTTCTCAGGGAGTAGGAACAGAGACGATGATTATCGTTCACATCGCTTCATTATGCACACACACGCGCTTTACTTTTTAAATACACACCATCACATCTGTGATTGTGTTCTGATAGTAAACAGGAAGCCATGCTAGAGAAGGAGAAAACTGAATGTCAGAGGAAATTTGAGGAGAGTCGACGAAGCCAGAAGACAGCTGCCAAGTACTTGAAACAAACAATTAAAAGGTAGATATCTGATAAAGCATGAACTGTATTATAATGGAATAAATGTATTATCCTTGAAGATTTATTGGAGAGTCAACCTGTCCTATTGATCCTTCATTTATACTAGCAAAATATATTGATTGTAGCATTAACATGACACTGAAAAATATTGATATACTGATGTTGAAATTCAAATCAGGTTTAAAAAGTAATGCGCACAGACTCATAGGCTTATTAGATCACCAGAAATGCGTATAAAAGATCTGAATGTAAAGCTTTGACATCAAATCCACTTACAACCCTAAAAATAACACAAGAAGCTCATTAAAATCAGAAAGCTCAAATCTACTCAAGTGTAAATTTAAAAAGCAGAAATGCCTAAATTCAGTATTAAATGTCGAACTTTCTTTGTAAATAAATATAGAAATTTAAAAAAATGCCAAATATTTGCCGTGACTTAAAAAAAATGATTCTCTACTTTATCATTCGTGTGAAAATGTTGCTGCTGAATTTTTCCCTGCCAAAGCGATAATAGTGTTTTTTTAAGTATAACACTTTCTTGACTGTAGTTGTCTCCCCCTTTTTTTTTAGAATGCACCAGCAAGCAGCTGAGAAGGAGCAACAGAGCAGGGAGTTAATAGAAAAGAGGATGCAAGCTGTTAAGTCACTGAAATCTAATATAGCAGCCAACCAAGTAAGCACCAGAAATATACATATTTACCACGTTTTTATGTGCTGGACTGTGTGTCTTATTGTTGACCGTTTTTGTACTCTTATTAAGCTTTTGCTGCACTCTGTCTATAACATTTGTTTATCCTTCACATGAGCAGTTGAATTTAAGTCTGCGCCTGGTCGAAAACAGCTTTATTAATTTAGCTTTGTTGCTTAAGGAGAGTCTACGGGTTCAACAAAACAGAGCCAGAGCAGACGCCCAGATGAAAGAAGAACAAGAAAGACAACTGAGAGAATCCCTGCAGACCCAAGGCATCAACAGTTTCCAGCATATGTACCGGCTAAAGCAACTAGAGGAGACAAAACGAAAACAAGAGTATGTCCTCGCTCTTCTCTCCTCTGCTACATGTATGTCCTCTACTCCCACTCCATGCAGCAATGTGTGGGTGTGTTTTTTTATTTTTTTCTTTCTCTTGCTTTGTGTGCAGAAGAATACATGACCCCATTTCAGTGTAATGCATTGTTGTTGATTTACACTTCCCAGGGAATTTGAGGAGAGCCAGAAGTCAAAGAGGGTGGCGATAGTTGAAAAAATTCTTCAAGAGGAACAGTTGATGAGCAGAAAAAAAAAACAAATGTCTCCCCTCAAACCCCCAACTACTAACAAGTTTTCATCTTTGAGGAAAATAGAGAGGCTCTTGCACTACCTTCATCCTTCCTCCCCATCAGTCGCGGAGGAGACAGCGACGACTGTGAGGGGCCTTTCTCATAACCCGAGATGCTAATATGTTGAGTTTGGTTGTACTTTCAGAAAAGATGATCTGTTTTGTTTGTGTTTCTTGTGTTCAGCATTTCAGAAATTTCAGGGATGTTCGGAGCGCTTCGTCATTTTCCTCCGATGCTGAGGACCTGGAGGAAACGAGTGAAACCTTTCAGGAAGACGTTGCCGACCGGAGCCTTGCTGACAGCCTTGTTGAGCCTGAATTCACCGGGCTATGGGACCAAGACTACAAGGTGTGCTAAAACAACAGCCACTTCCAACAAAAAGCAAACTCATACAAGCTGCTAAATTTAAACAGTCATAAATCATGAACCTTTCAGCGGTCACGTGATTATTTTGCGGAGTGCAGCAGAAACTCCTGGTTCTTGGTGGAGCTGTGCGCGTTAGGTTGGTCAAATCAGGAAGAGAAGTGACATGAATCTTATGAATCTCATGAAGCTTATTTCTGGCAGGTAAAAAGAGAAGCACCATGTGTCAAGTGAGGAAGCACAAATCTGTCTAAAATCAGGTAGACTGTCCTGTGATGGGATCACACCTACTGATGCCTGTCATTATGTAAAAGTTTCTACCTTTACTAGAGCATGGAGTACAGTGTAATCTTAGCTCAATCTGTAAAGTTTGACTGGATTAAAGTAGTTTTTGTGTTTCCTTCCTGAAGTCAATTGGTTGTGGCGGCCATCCTGACTTGGGTTGGATCTAAAATTTATACATTTCAAATGACTGTGTTCTGAAAGTTTCATTAAAACCTGTCCAGTGGTTCATGAGATATTTTGCTAACAGTAGCAATAGTAGGGTGGCTGTGGCAGAGTGGTTAGGGGAGTCATTCTGTAAGCAGAAGGTTGCTGGTTCGATCCCCTGTTCCTGCCATCTCAGTCGTTTTGTCCTTGGGCCTTTACCTACTCGTGGTGGTCAGAGGGTCCGGTGGCGCCGGTGCATGGCAGCTGCAGGGCTGTGGCTATAATATCGCTTACAGCAGGTGGGAATGGGTGAATGTCTGAAGAGTAAAGTGCTTTGGGGTCCAGAGGGACTTGATAAAGCGCTATATAAGTTCAGTCCATTTGCCATGTTCAATACAGTACACACTCAGGTAAAAATGATAGATTCATCTGTGGACAATAATAAAAATGTTCAGGAGTTTACAGGATTGGTCATTTTGCAGTTAGGTTCCAGTGTTAAGAAGCAAATTCACCTTCTCAAAGCAAATAGAAATATTTTTTTTGTGTGTCTACAAAAGCAGAAAAGTAACATGAATGGAAATTGTTTACCCTGTGATAGAACCACATCTTAAAAAGATCACAGATGACCAGTGGAAACAGGTTTTATCAGATAGCACAGATGAATCTTATAACCATATTTTTGCTTGATCTATTGCCTGTGTTTAATGATGTGCTTGTAAAAGTACTCAACAAAAACGTAAAGGAACACTGCTATCATTTTTGGTGCCATTCCTAAAAGGCCAAAAGCCAGTATACAGGCAGAGAAGCCCCTGGACACATCTATGGAAATCATTTGGTCTGTGGTTGAATCGCGTTTGAGAAGCATCACAAAGGAACAGTGGAAAAACCTGGTCTATGGTAGCGTTGATGATGAGGTTAAATGCATTGTGGTAAATCTGATATCTGAGTTCCTTGATGTGATAACAGAAATAGTCCAAAATAAGCACAGAAGCCTTCAATCATGTTTTGAGGATATAGGTTCATCCACTACTTCTAAAAGTCTTTCAGACCCTGAGGAAGTACCTAAAATAAGGTGCGTGCATTTTGAAGAAAAAACAACAGATTTGTATGTCCAAGTATCAAAGATTGAGTTTAGTGTTCAAATTAAAGAGAATGACAGTTTGCACAGTCTAACTCACACAAATAGAAATATTAAACAAAAGAAATGGACTCAAGAAGACAAGACAGACCGTTTGGAGCAAGCAGACAAGACAGGCAAAAATTTTGTTTTGAAACTTGTTGAAAAGTTGATTTCACTTATGTTTGAAAAAGCAAATCCTTCCACAGAACAAAAACATCTGTTTAGGCTGATTGGTCCACTGAGAAGTCCTGACGTCATTAATAAAATTTCAGTATTCTTAGGTCAGACAATAAACCTTTTTTGAATACATTTGCCAATTTGATCCAAACACATGATGGTGTTGACAGAAACTGTCAAAGACTGATGTAAATATAACAACGCTTGCCAAATTATTATAGAACCAGCTTTGTGGCAGTTTCTGCTACAGCAGGTGTCACCAAGCATACACTTTCCAATAATATCACGCACAAAGATTGACACACACACACACACACACACACACACACACACACACACACACTGATTCATGAGGTGAAAAAAATACCAGCCAGGCTGTCACAGCTGGTAAGAATCATGGTTCAATGTTGTGAAAGTGATGAAAAGTTTTTCAGGACTTCTACTTCTGTTTTTTTATTTATTTATTTACTTATTTATTTTGCATGAGACTATTTAAAGTGAAATTATTTTATTTATAATGAGAGCCCAGAAATTAGTTGCAAAGGACTTTAAGAGTGTCTTATATTAGCTTACTTCCATGGAGATGAGTCAGTTGTGTGCCTCATTCAGCGCTCTCACAGAGCTGAAATTTGAGGCGACAGGCATCACTTCTTCTCACTTCATTGGTGTCTCTACAGAGTGAACTCAGTGATACAGCTCACAGATCTGAGCAAGTGACAAATCAAATGGAAGTGATTTCGCTTCCTAACATAAAGCTCAGGCTAATGCCCTCTACAAGCACAGTGACGCAACAAAGCTATGAATGAGAAATAATTGTCAAACCTGTCAACTTTCTCAAGAGTTAAACTACACAGATGATTAAAAAAACTTAACTCCTAATTAGACAAAATCTTAAGCCATAGTTTAATTTTATTTGTTGATAACAAATTTAATTTATCAAAGTTTTTCTGTATTTTAGTGTAGGATACAGTATATCACAGATCATGTCATGGCCAAATGCAGTAATATAATACATGAAATGCATATACTTTTTAAGTAAAGTCCTGTATTTTTAATGATAAGCTAGCAGTCGGTGCGGTGGCCCACTTTTGTTTTAGTCTGTGCTCTTGGAGAAAGTCTGCCATATGCTCAAGCAGCAAAGGCTCATGGGACATTTCATAAATTGATCAAATCTGAGTTTATGTGGCGTAATAAAGTGGACAAATTTACATGCGTAGTTTAATCTAAATATCACTTGTTGTTGCAATCTTATTCATTGCAAAAAAATTGTCATACATGCATTTTAAAGACATACCTATTCAATTTTAATACGTAATAGTACAACATGCACAATTTGAATGTTAAAATGTTGTATATGCTTTTTTAAATTAATTAGTTACAATTTTTGATTAAACTCAGCACAATAAACATATACAATGATCAGAGGAAAACAATCAGGATACATTTATTGTCGACAATTGTCTTGTTCTTTTTTATTGGAGAAGCTAGAGTACATAAAGACAAACAATCAGTTAGCTAGCCTAATTATAATATTTCTTTTACTTCTGATTTGACTGTTTTTATGTTCCAGAAGCTCTTCACTGAGAAGGTTACACCTTTGCAAACAGAAGTACAGGAAGACGAACCTGACACAATCAGCAAAAAATTACATGTGACCTCTAAAAAAGTTCATGAAAAGAAGTTGAAAGGACCTCCATTTGTCAGTAAACCAGACGTCGTCTTTTTTAAGGTATCGCTCTCGAGTTTAAAAGAAGTCAGTCACCAAAAATGCTGTTCTTCACTCAAGTTTGCACGAATCTCAATAGCAACTGAATAGTTTAACACATTTCCACTGTTCTGTTTTAGGATTTCGACGTTGGAAAACTCTATAAGAAGAAAATTGTTCTGACAAACAACTGCTACATTGTTAACCACTGCAAGTTCCTCAGAGTCTCCGCTCAGCTTAAGGATTTCATCTCTGTCAAGTAAGATTTTCTCCTCTGGCCCTGGCAACATTTTAGCAGAAACAAACAGAAAACATTTGTAAAATTTAAGTGCACCACAAATTCAGACAACTGTGCATAAAAAGGAGAAGTGGGTAAATGATAATGACTGGATGGATGTTTTATGGACATGAATTAAACAAAGAAATAGTGTTGTTAGAAATAAACTGGATTTATGTTTAAGCAAACAGCACAATTTAGAGTTCCTTTAAAATCCACCTTATGTTAAACACCTATTGTTTTATATGGAAACATCTGCTCAGTAGTCTGTTGTTAAAAAGGCAAATACAGTTTGTCACATAAAAAAAAAGATGGAACGTGTGCAAAAGCGAAGCCTGTCCTCCCACATATGGACACCAGCTTGGATCACCACACGCCCAGCTCCTCTTATGAGTCCCAGCTAAATGAGTCAGTCGATGCTCCTTCCATCTCCTCTCTCCGTTCCTGCCAGCAGCCCACAGGACGAGAGGAGTTGTATTGTTCTCCAGGTCACTCTCTGCGTATCCCTTTCCCATTCGCTCTTCTAGGACTTGATGAGGTTACTTCTCTCCTCTTTCTGCCTGACTGAGTGAAAAGCCTTGTAGGCTACAGAAGGGTCAGCTGGAAACTACTAGTGCTGTTCTTGAGTACTGATGGGGGACCACTTGTCTGAACATATCACCTTCTAGTCCTTCACAACTTGCATGTAACAGGCACGCACTTCCAAACCTAATCTGTGAACCTAATCTGCTCTCATCACCATTTATTTACTGACGACGATTAAAGGGATCCACAATTAGTTGTAACTTTAGACTTTATTTGATAAACATTTATTTTAACTGTAAAACAAAGACTGTAAAAATACTGTAGGCTGTTTAGTTTTTATAATTTTTAAACTAATTTTTAAAAAATTTATATTACACAGACTGAGCCATTTTATTTACACGCAAAGCATTCTGGGTAAAGGATGACGTGGATGGGTCCTTGGTGGAGGCTTTGTGTGAGATATATCCACCCTGAAGTTTAATCTCTGACAATATCTGATGATTATCTCTTTTAAATGAAACCAGAGCGCGTTGAAAGAGAGGAGAAGGTAGAAACGACTCAGTCTGCAACTGAAAATGGGAATGGAGGACCTCAGTTTAGCTTGTTAGTTTGTCGCACTAGTGCCGAGCTAATACCTATAAGGCAATATTGTCTGTGCTAAAGCTAAAGCTAGCAGGCTAAGTTGAGGTTCTTCCTTCATGAAGCAGCTCTGTTGTCCTCCATCCATATTTTCAGTTGCAGGCTGAGTCATTTCTACCTTCTCCTCTCTGTCYACMCTCTCTGGTTTCATTTAAAAGAGCCAATCGTCAGATATTGTCCAAGATTAACCTTCAGGGTGGATATAGCTAGCTAACAGCCTCGCATTGATGGCCTATCCATGTCATCATTTATCCAGTATGCTTTGCTTGTAAACAAAATGGCTCCATCCGTGTAATATATATTTTTTAAATCCATCCATTATCTACAACCATTTATTCCTTTTCTAGGGTTGCAGGTGCCCATATCCAGCAGTCACAGTGTGAGGGACGGGGTACCTGGACAGTCCATCACAGGGCCACACATAGAGACAAACGAGACAGACAACCATTCACTCTCACCTAGGGACAATTTAGAGTTACCAATTAACCTAACAGTCATGTTTTTGGTCTGTGGGAGGAAGCCAGAGTGCCCGGAGAAAACCCACGCATGCACGGAGAAAACATGCAAACTCTACCCAGAAAGGTCCCCGGACCGGGATTTGAACCGGTGACCTTCTTGCTGAGAGGCATCAGCTCTACCAACTGAGCCACCTATTATTTTTTATTAATTTATTTAATTTTTTAAGTTTATTTATTTATTTTAATTTAGTTTAAAAATTATAAAAACTAAACAGCCTACAGTATTTTACAGTCTTTATTTTACAGTTGAAATATATGTTTATCAAATAAAGTATAATGTTACTACTAATCGTGGATCCCTTAAAATCATGGCAGCACAATGGCTCAGTGGTTAGCACTGATGCCCCACAACAAGAGTTTTTATTTACCTTTGTTTAACCAGGCAAATCCCATTGAGATCGCAGATCTCCAATGCAAGGGTGGCCTGGGCCTGAAGGCAACCTATTGTACATTTTTTTGGGGTGTGGGGGAACCCAGAGTACCCAGAGAAAACCCATGCAAGCACGAGGAGAATATGCAAACTTTGCAAACAGAGGAACCAATATGGTCCTGGGTTTGATCCCCAGTTTGGACTTGGCCTCTCTCTCTTTTCAGAGGCATGTTCTCAGCAGAACAGCTGCCAATGGTCCAAACCTTGCTGACTTCGACACAAAGGCTTATCTTGTTGTGTGGAAAGATGAATTTAGTTGTTGTATTATTCTCTGGTGAGAAATAATATTTACACATTTATTTTACACAACCCCATGCACCCAATCGCAACCAAACCCAATAACCACAAACTACAACAGGATCACTAGACGATTAAAAACAGAATTAAAACCATAAATGCTGCCAAAGTAATTCATCTATTATACACCCACCATCCATTAATCACCATTTCTTCTTTGTAAAATGCAGGTTACTCACACATTCAAACCTACAATCTTGAGTTCAGTCGTGATTCGTGTCGACTGCAAAGGCTTTGTTGTTCCCCCAACCAGCCCATTCTCACTCCCAACTCGTCACATATTGACGCTTGGTCCAGGTTCCCTCTGCGTCTGGTTTTGATGTGGTGAGTAACCCCTTTGCATCAGTTATTGACAAGATGAGAACAAGGAAGAGGAGCCAATTATCATATTTTTTGAAAAGTGTAGAAAATATGACAACTAACCGTCTCAAACCCTAAATTTAACTTTTTTTAGCCCTAGACAGCCTATCCCTGACCTCACTACCTAAAATTAACCAGTAATCCTGATCCCTAACCATGGATCCCAACCCAAAGACCCTAAAAATCCAGAAAAGCCCGGTTCAACAATAATTGATGCGAGGGGGTTACCCGGTGCATCAAAACCGGACGCAGAGAAAACCTGGACCAAGGGTCAATATGTGATGAGTCGGGAGTGAGAATGTGTTACCCCAGCAAATAAAACTTTAGCACAGCAGATGGAAATAAGAACTGGTAACACGCTGGGCTTTATCACACCCCCTTAATTTCTAAGAATGGCGTCCTCTTCCCTCCACACCCCCCTACCCACTGTAGGTACATTTGTGCCACAGTGGGCTCTGCTGTGCCTTTTCTCTTCTGCGAGAAGAACCAGAACAGTCTGGACTTGCCAGACTTGATGAAAAGCCACGGTAAATGCCGTGTTTAGTGGCACTTCTCAGCAAGTGTTGTAAATGACTGGCTGAGTGAAAGACACCCCTCTGTGATGTGTGTTCCCGAGCTAAGAAGTGCGATAACGGGTAAGGAGGAAATAACTGTGCAAAAATTGTACAGAATATTATGATTATATTTATTTACCATTTCATTTGGCAGCATGGTGGCTTAGTTAGCACTGGTGCCTAGAAAGAAGGCTCTAGGTTCATGCCTCCGCTTGGACCTGAGGTTTCTCTGTGTGGAGTTTCCATGTTCTGTCTCCTTCCATGGGTTTTTATGTTTATGCTGCCTTCAGGCCCAGGCCTCCCTTTGAACATTTACATTTTAAATGGCTTATAAAGTGGGCGGCATGATGGTTCGGTTGGTAGAGCCGTTGCCTCTCAGCAAGGTTTACCGGATCAAATGTGCATTCTTCCCAAGCACTCCTGTTTCCTCCTACAGACCAACAAACATGATAATTGGGATAGGATAGGATAGGATAGGATAGGATAGGATAGGATAGGATAGGATAGGATAGGATAGGATAGGATAGGATAGGATAGGATAGGATAGGATAGGATNGGATAGGATAGGATAGGATAGGATAGGATAGGATAGGATAGGATAGGATAGGATAGGATAGGATAGGATATGGGATTAGGATAACTCTAAAATGAATGAGAGCGTGAATGGTTATTTGTCTCTCTGTGGCCCTGTGATGGGTGTACCAGGGTGTTCCCTGCCTCTCGAACTGTGACTGAGCACCAGTTACCCCTGTGACCCTAAAAGGAAGGACCAGGTAAGTTTTTTCAACCCTGGTCCTCAAGGCACACTGCCCTGCATGTTTTAGAGGTCTCCCTCCTTTGATACACCTGATTCAAATGATTGCAGTTCAACAAAAGCCTGCTAATCAGTTACCAACTGAAATCAGCTGTGTTGAAGCAGGGTAACATCTAAAACATGCAGGGCAGTGTGCCTTCAGGACCAGGGTTGAAAAAACATTGGTTAATCAAACTGAAAACAGGCACCTTTCGGTAAACATTACACTTCAAACAGTTTTTCAGACTAATTAGCTAATTAACTCATCATCTGGAGCACAGCTTAGCTTAACACCTAACAAATAACCACATCAGTCAGCTCAGGAGGTGGACAATGTGTTCTTTACTCAGATCCAAATATTAATTAACAAATTGCTCCGTGCTCTTGGATTTAAAACTGCATTCACAGTTCAAGTATGCCAGAGCAGTGTTTACATCGTCTCAAGCTACCTGCCAACATTCCATTAAAGCATTAATTGTGTTCATTCACCTGAACTTCATATGGAAAACTGTGTGCATGCACAATTTGGTTTTAATGTGCTAAAACCAAACAGTTAAGTTTTTTTTGCGTACTTAAAAGCAATTGCAAATTTTCTATTGACTCGCTTTGGAAAAACACAATACTGTTAATGGAAGAAATTGGCCTAAAACTAGATAGTCCCTTACAATTTTAATATTTTCTCACAAACTTGAATAAAATGCTCTAGGTAAAAATTCCAGATGTAACTTTTATTTTCTTCCAAGCATGAATTGGGGTGTTTTATCTCTGAAATGAATTATGAACAGGGTGTGCTTATTGATTTACTGTAGAAGCCAATAGAGATTGCTAAGAATGCATAATTTAACACAGAATAGTCAGTGATACTGTAAAGTTATGATTTCAGCCTCCTGCAGCAAACTCCTCGTAGAGTATGGCCTCATTTGCAGCAGTTTATATAGGACTGTAGCAGGCTTTTTCAAACACTGCCTCGCTCAGCATTTAATCCCAAGTGAACTGCTCTATTTTCCTTCACGTCTTTTTATGCCACCTGTCTTGAAGCTGAAAAAAAAAACCAATAGTACCAATAAAGAAATTTGCCAAGAAAAAACGATAACTCAGATGAAAGGGCATTTGGAATGACCACCAGGTTATCAGGTGGGATTCTTTTATATGCTTCCAATTCACAGTGGTGCGCTGCAAAGCAACTTTAGCCAGACTGTCACAACTTTCTCACCTCAGAGCTGGACCAGTAGCTTCAAAAACCTGGCTTCAGCTAAACCTGCTGGGCTGTCCCACTTCCCCTCTGTGCTGATGGTAGTCAGCAATATTTATTATGTTGTGATTCCTCAGGTCATCATCATCAGTGAGTATTTTGTGATTTAAAAAAAATCAGGTATCCAGCAAATACAAGGTTTTGTTTTTATTATTATTTTTCATCAGAGTTTAAACTGATGCAAGATCAAAAAAGAAAACATATTTTTGTCTTTTCCACTTTTGGATGCACAACTCTTTGCACAAAGAGGATGCACAAATCTTTTCTAGCAAAAAAAAAAAAACGAAGTTTTTTTGCATTTTATATAACAAAATAGCAAAAAGTTGGATTAAACTTAGATGTATCTTTATATTTACCAAAATGCTGTTTTTTACTCTTACAACCAAAGTTAAAAGCATTCACAGCTAAATATTTTTGTTTACTTTTTGAACTTTGGCTGGCTTTTTGCTATAATAATATTGATTGACCTTCATGAGTCTCCAGAAGAGCAATAAGTTATCAAACTCTTCAGGGTAGTAATAATGTTAGCGTAAACTTGCTGCCAGACACTCATTTTGATTGCATACATCTCACTGTCCTCAGTCTCTTTTTTGTCTGGAACTAGATTTTTGCTTTTACGGTTTTATGGTTTACATTATGATACAGTAAGAGCTGTTAAATAAGTTTCTGCCAGTTTGTTTTAAGACATTGGGATTCATCTTTTTTTTTTTTTTTGCCTGATTTGTGGATACAGGCTGGCTTTTATCCTCAGTTCTGTCTTCTGTGCTCTGCTTGCTTATACCTTAGTCGTTGTGCTGTTCATTATGTTGCCAATCAGAGGTTACTCCATGCATCTTTTTTTACTTACAAGCTGCAATCCGTTCATATTCAATTTCATAATGTTATGTCCAAAGGAAGTTGTGTGGAAAAAAAGGTTGTTTTTTTTTTTGTTCAGATTTGATCCTCCGGGTCGGTTATCTTTTGGGATGTCCTGTGATGTTCAGGCTGTTTTCCAACCAGTGGTCAGTACTTTTAATACTTCTTATTGACATCAACAGCTTAGCCAAATTATTAAGATCCAAGACACCCTCAACATGTCAGAGCTGATCAACTTTTTAAAATTTAGTCAGGAATTTAGACTGTCTTTAACCTGTTTGTTACATGCAAGTTTTATTTAAAATATCTGTTTTGATTTTTTTTTTTTTGTTAAATTGACTTAAATTGTCAGATAGAACACCTCCACTGGTATAAATGTTTATTATTATTATTATTATGTTATTTTTCTCTAAGCCACTGAAAATACATTTATTTGACCACTTTTATTGTTTCATCATTTTGATCACTTGTTGCAACTTGATTTTTGGACTCCCAGCAAAACGTTGTAACATTACACAATCTCTGCAGAACAACGAGGACTTAGAAGGAGATCTACAGTTTTCATCAACAATGGGCCCTTTTTCCGTACCCATCAGATGTACCACAAAGAAATGTTGTGTAAGTAAAGTCAGTTCTATACAGCCAACAAAAGAACGATTCCACGACTTTAAACTACTAGTTTGACATTGCATCAGTTTCCTCTTTCTCATTTTTTATGTCTGCATCATACAAGTTTGGTAAATGTTTTTGTTTAGTAACGTGGTTGTAATGTGAAGCACAGAACTGAATCATTTTTGAGTCATTTGAATGACTCAAGAAATATAGTTTCAAAAAGGTTTGTGATTAATTAACAAGTTTGATGCACAGGATACACAGTCCAATAAGAGAGAAGCATAAAAAATACAGCCCTGAACAGCAATATGAAAAACACTTGAGTAACATTTCACTATGTCTTCTAGAAATGGCTAGAACGGTTACAAAAACAGACAGCAAATGTTTGTTCGTAATATGCCAGTATTTGATTTTTCAGGCCCCCAACATTGTAGCATATTTCTAGGAAAACGAAAGCAAAGATAACCAATTTGAAATTTAGCCAATGACATGACTTTTTCTTATACTGTACTTCATATTAACCAATGTATTGATTAGACAAAGGCTGGCATCTCTTCTCTACTTGCTAATTATGATCTTTTTTGTGAAAATATTCTTTCTCTAGCCAGAAGTTGACAGCCAGTTCGTTGACTTTGGTTCACATGTCGTTGGCCAGACCATTTCACGGACTATCAACTTGAGCAACAAGGGAGCCCTGGCCACCCTCTTCAGCCTGGACACGTCCACACAACTCAGTCCAGAAACTAGCAATGTCCAGATGTCATCCCAGGCTGCTGCCAACTCATGCTTGGTCAGAAATTGATTTGAGCCCCAAGAGTTGCTTTATTTGTCACGTCCTCTGAGAGAAATTTGATAACAGCATTGAAATGGTTTTGTTTTATGTCACAGTAATATTTGTTGCCTTTACATTTGATAGTCCAATGCTATTTTCCACACTACTTTGTAAAGTGTTCTTCTAGTCAGTGAAACTAGCAGATGAAAGTAGAAAAACAAAGACAAAAATTAAGCATTGTATGCTTTAGCATAGTTCTATTTATACCTTTTAACACACTATTCAAAACGATCATGTATTAATATGAGATCTTTTGCTAATAGGAATCATCCAGTGAAAACACCAAGTCCATCTGTCAGAAAAACTCTGCTTCCATAGATGCTGAAAAAGTCCAACTAAATCAGCAGAATCCAGAGTTCTCCAGAGAATCACAGCAACCTGGTAAAACTCTTATTTCCTTTCAATAAAAATTTCCCCTTCCAGAGCAAACACAAATAAATATAATTTTAGTTGTTCATTACATGAAGTATGTCTCCTTGGAACATTTAAAAGGTCTAACTTATCTTTGCATTTGATGTGTAATTTTGAAGGAAATGTGTATAATTAGATATAATTTCTTTAAGCTTTCAACCCACATTAATAAACAATTTATGAAAAACAAGAGGAGAAGATTTAAAGTGTCTCCTCATCTGTCTGTTCCTGCGAGGACATTAGGTCCTTGTTGAAAAAAAATGTGTGTAAGGACACACAGAAAGCACAAAGTTCACCTTGGCTCTCACAGCTGGTAAAAAACACGCACCTCCTGTTTTATGTTCTCCCACATCTGAAATCTTCATCGCTGCGCTCAGCACTCTCCACCACTGATGCTTTGATAAGCTCTTCAGTCGTTTGCCTCTGCTCTGCTGGCTTTGGAAATTTTGTGTTGCTCTGTAAATCTGTTGAAAAGAATGCAACTGACTACCACTAGAACAAATTTAGAATATTATGCTGTATACTATTCAATTTACTTCAGACTTATATTGTTTTTATTGTCTTGGTTTTAGAGAATATAAGTTAGAGAATAGAAATTGATCACTTATTTGTATAATGATCTATATCAGGTTTTTATGCTTTGTAACATTGAGTCTCTGTCTCAATTTATTGTTTTGTACAGGGACAAGTCCAGAAGCTGGCCTTGAGACTTGTCTGTCCTCAGATGTGGACACTCAGAGGAACCAGACTCCCTCAGACTCTAGTGACATAAGACTAGGACAAGTAAGGCCAGGATTTATTTTTATTGTTTCAATAATATTTCATGGCAACACTTGTAAATTCAAAACTTTATTTGTTGTAAAAGAAAACTTAGTATGTCTCTTTAGCTGGCAGATTTGAAAAAAATCATTGTAAATATGTAAATGTTTGCTTCTTTTCAAAACCAACACATTGTACTCACATTGTAAAGTTATTTTTAATCTACCTCAGATTTTAGCCCGAAGTATCTGTCTAAATACATTTTCCACAATTAATTTATTTTAATAATACATTATATACAGGGTTGTACATAAAATTTTTGGTCTGGTTCTCAGGGGAGAACCTAGCGTTGTTGCTTGGTGCTCATATTTTCCTTCATTCATTTAACACATTTATCTATAGGGGTGTCAGGGCATCTAACATCCCCCTGTTCTGTTTTATGACTCCTGTCAGCTGCAACGTACTGTATATATATA